AAGAAGAGAAAAAAGATTTAGGTCATTGATATACAGATTATATTTATTCGGAAATGCAATTGATCAATGATAAAAAAAAAATAATAAAGTACAGATGGCTTATTACTACTAATTATGTCACGGAGAAGCTAACTTAAATATTTACTTAACCTCTATTACAAGGTTGCTTATATTTGCCAACGTTATTGTCATTAGAAAGTAGCAGAATTACCACATAGGTAGTTGGAGGTTGTTCATAATTTTTGGTATGGAATGTTATTAGTAATCATAAGTATGCAATGATGCATGTTTTGGTTGGGATATATCAATTTCTGTGGAATTTCTGTTGTTTGATTTTCTGTATTACTTAAAGAATTTAGTAAAGTTTCACCTTTTACCAAAAAAAAAAAAAAAAAATTATATGATATTTTTATAACATATTAACATTAAAGATATCTGTCTGTTAATTAAATAAACAGAATTTGGATGTTTATTTTCATCTGCATAGTTCTCTGTCTTTGTACCATCTAGTGGAGAATTACTTTATAGTAAGTTTTTGAGTATTTGTTACATGTTCATGGTTTATATGTATATTCTCCCTAGAGACTGCAATTCCTTTTGCCCACCTTGCTCCTCACAAAGAGCATCAAATTTTAATCTTTTACTTAGGCCATTCTTGATAATGTTTGTATTGCTTTAGATATACCCACCAGAAAATGTGTCTCGTGGTGGTATGTCACATAGCAGCAAAGTTGAAAAAAAGTTTTGAGAATTATGAGAATTGTATGTATTTTATATGCTCTTATACATATAAAGGAAGTAGGAACTGTCATAGGGATCTTGTCACATTGGATTGGTTCAGGAAGACAAGGGTGTGAGAAAGGTATGGGGGGAATAAACAAAGGTAAGGTGTACTTGCAATACATCACGAAAATAATTATTTTACGCTTCTTACATATATTCACTGTGGGAAGAGGAGCTAGGGAGAATTTGTACCATGGATTCAAGGAAAAAAAACAAGGATATAAGAGGAATGGGGGGGTGGGAGTTAGTATTATGGGGTATATTTGGAAAAAAACTTGCCAAAAAGTACCAGGATTTCTACTTCACACTCATAGCCCTGGTTTTGCAAGTCTTTGCTCAATTGGACTTTCTTGGAAAGAAAATCATAAGTTTTCTTGGACATTGAAGATTTATGATAAAATATTGTTTATAGAAGACCAAAATTAAATTTTGTTTTATATTTATTTATTTTGAGTTTATATAATTATTGGTTTCCTTGTTGCAGCTGTACCAGCGTGACTTGAATGAGGAAAGGCAGAGATTCATGTTTCTTCGGGACGAACGCTTAACAGGCAGTGGATTCAAGCATTTTGTGAGTATTTCCATTAAAGATGGTGAAAATCTGTTTTTTTTTTTTTTTTTTTTTTTTTTTTTTTTTTTTTTTTTTTTTGTGATGAATTCATGGACATTGTGTTTTTCTAAACTTTTATATGAACATATTCAAGTTCAATTTGTCTTTTGATAACAAGTTAAATTTTCAACCATGTGGGATTGCAGGAATGTGTTCCTATTAACATATCCACCTTTTGAACCGCTATAACTATTGTAAGAGATTGAATTGCTAGTTTTGATTTCACAAATGATTTGTCCTTTTTTGAATCTCATTTGTTTTTATAATAATCTAGTGTAGTTAAGTATAATTTGAAAGTTCTTTTTGGAATATCAAAGAATTTGTAATAATTACATAATAATTATTTGAAATGCTGGGTTTAATGACAGAGACATTGTTGACGAAGAGAAACCGAGTCTTCCAAAATGATTATAATTATATTAGCTTTGTTAGTACAGTCAGTATTTATTTATTATTATTTTTAATCATTTGTGAATTTATTCTCTTTTGTTTTACAGGGTCTAGAAAACATCCCAGATGAAGAAACCTCCGAATAGGGACTTTTATGTTGTATAAAATTATATAGTTTAGCTGTATATAACAAGATCACTTATGGTTCTTTGTAATGCCGATGCTTATTAAATTATAGACTCTTTATTATTGTTTAATTTTTTCCCTCTGTTGAAAGAGTGTACGGGCAAGATGGTTCATGTACATAAGTTTGTGATATATAAAGACCATAATATATGGGTGTAGAAAATGTATTTTACATTATATACAAATCTAGATAAAAAACACAAGAGATTTTCTGTAAGTATAACCATGCAGAGCTTCAGGAAATAAGATATGTTACAATTACTTTGATCATCTGATTTATCCAATATTGACATGATGAAATTACATATAAATGTTGCATTTTATCTTCTTCAATACATTTACTAACAATGGGAGGGGGGGAGGGGAGAGGGGGTATACATCTCAGGCAACCAATCCAAATTTAATTACAATGCCAAATGGTCTCTTGAATAGTGAACTAATAGTTCTGGACTTTCTGCAATAATAAAAAGTTTATTCAGTATCCTTACTACATTTTGTTACCACATACTCACCTTGCATACATATAGCACATTAACTTGTTTTATTTTAGGGGGGGGCGGGGGGCAAAGGAATATACAATACAAACTTGCAAACATATCTGTTTATAAAAATAGGCATGCATCTTACTGCTTTTTTTCAAATTTAAGCTATAAAGAGAATTCTGTATATGCATATAATAAATGGTTATTACATATAAACTGGAGCAAATAGTATATCATAAATTTTTGTTGGCTATTAGAATATTAACAATATAACTGTATCTTACAGTTTATAGTCTGCCAACCAACTGTATATACTGCATATTACATATTTTTAAAAAAACATAAAAATTTCAACAAACTAAAACAAAGAATATGATTAAAATATAAAGAATATTGTAATATATGACTAGAATACAAAATAGCATCAACTAAAATACCTGTTCTTGGTAAACATTTCTCAAAGATAATTTGTATTAATGTATGTCATGCATTTAGCTTCTAAGGGATACACTAAAATCAAATTTCTTTTAACCGACTGTAATCCTACTTTACAGATAAAATTTACATTCTTTAGTGTTCTCTAATGTAAATTACAACCTCAACATGCCCAGATTTCACTATTTAATTACAATATGTGGCAATGTTTGGCTATTGCAAACTGAATACAGTGGGACAACCTATGAATTTGAAAAGATTTAATAAAATTGTCATTCATTATCTTAACAGCTATGTACATAGTTTTGGCATCTACATATTCTATATAGTTTTTGGTATTACCATTTTTTTTTTACCACTGTTGCTGTGTATTAAAGAAAGAAGGAAAGGAAAACTGTATTTTCATAGATTACTATTTTAACCCACTGGCAAAAGGTGTATGCACTGTCCACTATGGTTTTGTTTCCTTAACCTGATGCTGCCAGAGATAGCATGTACAGTCAACTCCCCGTTAACACGAGTTCCGATAACATGATTTCGAAGTTACGTGGGTTAAAATTTATTGATATATATTCTGTTAGCGTGAAATGTTCGAAGATACGTGGTTTGAATTTCCCGCCTACTGTAGTCGAATATCCCGCCAGTCCCGCGCGTTTACATGAATAAATAATATACTACACAGTGTGTTTTTATTGTTTTTGTAACCTTCAAATATATAATAATGTGTATTTTTAGGTTTCTTAGTAATAAAATTCCCAAATTAGGCAGACTTTCCCAATCTCCAGGAACCTAACCCCCCCGTTAACGGGGAGTTGACTGTATATATATGGCATGCCCACTGTAAGTTTATTTTATTAATGGTACTTACATATATATGGCTCCACTTGTCCTAAGTCACCAATAAGCCAATTAAAAGTATTACCTGTCTCACTTTTTTACCCTTTTCATTGATTTTTGGAAATATTTTATGTTATATTGCTTTTACTAATGTCTAACATTATAGTAATTATCCTGACTATAATAAAAATAACCATATAATAAATATAAGGTCAATAATAATAATAATAATAATAATTATGTACTTTTTTTTTTCTTATTTGTTTCATTGTAACTATTATCTTCATTATCAATATTCAATACTATTATTAACTATGATATCTAAAATAAAAATCAAGTTTACTTTCCAAAGCTTCGAGGAAAAGAATAGTTGGAAAGGAGGCTTATTAATGGACTGCTTGGTGATCATATGCTTCTTATGGCATCTATTTGTAAAAAAGGACAGTGTATTGTATATGTGCACTCCTGGCATTGACAGGTTAGTATAGTAAATCAAGAGAAGTTCTCTATTAATGCCACATGGAATAGAATAATCTTGTCAAAATCGCTTTCTGTACAACAAATGAAGTAATAATTTATTACAGATATTTATGTAATTACAATGTGTTTTACGATAATGGAATAACCAGTATTGTACTTGGATAAGTTGAGGATAATAAAATGTAAAGACTATAAATAATCACTTCTACGTAAGCTATACAATCCAGCAATTATTACAGTGACGAAAAAGGGTAATTTATATCCTGCGATTAGTTGTGATGATTTTCATACTGTGCCATGTCTAAGCACTGTGAAATCTTACTCCAATGACTTCAAGTAACCATTAGTACAGATAGATAACCTGATCTGATAATGTGGAACACATCTTTATCCCATTTTCAGCTACAGTACATGAAAAAATATCCATTTAATCATAAATGGCTGCAAACTGATACTGAATATTTCACTCATGCCCAACTTTGCAATGCAGCAGCACTCTTGTAGAACTCTGGAGATATAAACAAGAAAACAAACAATTCTTCTGACTAGGCGGTATATGTCATTCCATCAATCACATGAGAGAACACTGTTCCGCCTGAGGGAGCTGCTGGTCTGACGGTGCCCCAGTGGGATCTTGGGCTGCTCCGTCCTGGCCGCCCGGGAATCCAGCTGCCCCGAGGAGAGTGGACATGTCGGGCAGAACGGGATTGCCAGCGGCGTCAAAGTTGATCACCGGGCCCATGTCCCCCACCAGTTCCTTTGGGGGTTGTCCCATTTCCTGAAGCTGTAAGGGCATT